TGAATACCTGAATTTCAGCCAATCAGGGAGTGACAACACAGCACGAGCTACCCGCGTGCTGAAGTACCTACTTTTATGTTCAAACTGCCTACTTATGTAAATCTACCTACTTATGTAATGGACACCCATTACAGTTAATGCCCAACGACTGAATTGGTGCATCAAAAGAGCTAAAGGTGTCGGGTGACATTAACATACCGTGTGGCACCAGCTCTGAGATGCCTGGAATGATGGCAGGTGGAAATGACAGCGACAATTCCTACGAGCGCGAGCTTTCGGACATTATGGAGTATCTTGATAGTGGTAAACGGGGTATTCACCCTCCATTTTCTGCATGTACTTCGCAAATTAGTACGACGTCTGGTATTTCAAGTCAGCTCAGTGCTCAACCCAGGCAATCTGATGTCGAAACTACACGCGAGTATGCGCTTAGCAATAATGGTGATGCTGAAAATGCTGCAATTGTGGAGTTAGAATCTTCTTGTATCCTTGTAACCGAAGAAGGAGCTTTCATGCGCGGATTTCAGTCGTGGTTTGACAGTTGGGGAGATTTTTTCAGTGCCGTCGACGCACACTGCGGATCTACCTACCAATTGCTCCCGCGTCGCTCTTCATATCGATCTGATACGCGCAACAAAAAGCTCACGTCCAAAGGAGTACTCGAAAACGATCCGCGTATCATTCTAGTCGACAGCTTTGATAAGTATTCCTACACGCTAATGTGTACACATGGAATTAAAAAGCGTGCTACTCAAAAAGGAAAAAGACAACGCAGAATCATACGATACCTTGGTTGTACGGCCCAAGTCAATGGAGTTGTTACTCGGAATGCAGATAACGAGTGGAAAGTGCATGCAACATGGCATGGGTCGCATAACCATTTGAGGAGTGAGCGGCTATACCAGTATTATGCTGAAAACCGCCGCATTAAAGATCCCCAAGTGCTCCGGCAAATTGCCGACATGAAGAGTGCTGGTGCGGACGCCAAGGGAATTCTAGATTATCTACGGCGAAATACAGGTCGGTTTATTTTCGTGGCTAATAGGGGTGTCAAGAAATTGCTCACTCCTCTGTTTGTTCTACTTTCTATTAAAAAAA